GTGGGATATCACTTTGGTCATCTGAGGTCAGCTGTCCCTGCTGTGCCCCTTCCCAACTCCTTAAGCACCTCCAGCCCACTTGCTGGTGGTGTGGGATGATGAGCAGAAAAGGCCTTGATACTGTGTAAACCCTGCTCAGCAGTATCTAAAACATCCCTGAATTATCAACACTTTATTTTTTCTGACACAAATCCAAAACACAGCCCCTTAGCAGCTACTGTGAAGAAAATTAATTATACCCCAGCCCAAACCAGCAAATCCTGACACACAAGTTCTTTGTAGATAAAGAAAGCATTTTAGATTTTTATTCCTAGTGTTGTTGCATCTGTTCTTGTGAGTCGCTTGGGTTCATGGTGTTCTTCTTGTGTGTGATATCATACTTAAGTGGTTCTTGGGAACATCCCTTTTTTGTTACAACAGGGTTTGTAAATAAACAGGGTTTCTATGGGGTTTTTTTGTCTGTTGCTGGCTTGACTGATGAGGAGTGCTGATATCTGTCACTAGTTTATTTCCTAGAGGCAAACTGGGTGTACTCACTTTTTCTGACTCAGAGGTCTTGGTGCAAGACTGACGTGCGTGATAGTTCAGGTGGAAGAGTGTCCTCCTAAAATTATACTGCCAAATAAGCTGTATGTGTATGGTTGCCTGTAAGGAGACTCCAAATTAGTTTTCAAAAGTGTTTATTCCTGGTAGAAAAAAGAGCTTAAGACAGTTTTTCACTTGGTGCTGGAAAAGAAGATCAGACATCCAAAGCAGGTTTTTAGCTGTGAAAGTAGTCAGCAGCCAAATCCCAGTAGAGTGATAAACAGATATTTAAGGATTCTTTGCAAATAAAATAGTTCATTCAACAGCTTTGAAAATTAAAAATGGAACACTAAGTTTTCTTAATCATATACCTTAAAAACTGGACTACAGTTCACTTTTAATTCAACAATTGTAGATGTTAAATCTGAACAATATTATGTAGCAGGGAGGCATATTGTGTTTGCTATTGGTATTTTCAGAAATAGCTTTAAATAACTTAAATTCGGTTAAAAGAAGCCCATCTGTTACTGTTCTTGTTTTCTTATCCAGCATTTAAATGGTAAACATCAAACTGTAAATACTTCAACAGTGTTCTCCCTTTGACAAAGAAAATGCGATAACTGTTCACCTTATTGTGAAAGTAGTTCAAAACATGCACAAAGGCAGGTATGAAATTGTCAGCTGCTTGATGCAAAATAATTATTTCAATCAACTGCCAAAAAATTCTCCACCTAGCTTCTGATCACCTTTCCTTCTTTTCAAACTTACTTTTCCATTAATTTGAAAGAAGGTAACTTAAGCTGATAGGAATATTTTAAATAGGAACAGTTTGCACCCTGTAAATTTTTCAAACACACTTTTTATTTTAATGGTCCACATATACTTTGTTTAATGAGTTTGAAAAGCTTTAATTTAAACTTCAGTGGGTGCTCTAGTACTACGAAAATACTGTCATGCAACATTGATTCTTGTCTAACAAGACAACATAATCAGAAAAATGTGTAGTAATTTTTATAACAATAATGGTTGCCTTCATTGAAAACACACATAAATGTGCCTGAAGACTGTTTCTGGGCACAAACTGTTTAAAGCTTGCCCTTGCTGTTGCTTCTGTTTGCATAAAATTTAAGTTTTTCTTTGTATCTCTGCTGTCACTTGTAAGTTTTATCTTTCTGAACCTAATATTTTCCTTTTTCAGCCTTATCTCAAAAGCCATTTATTTTAGGTTCTTGAGTTTTCCTACTATGACAAACACGCTATTTTTACTGATTTTCCAGAGTAGTCAAGACAAATGAAGGGGGATGAAAAAATCATATGTTTTGTCTGAACAACCACAGTATTATGTTAAGCTGCAAGTTTGTCTCTTTTAGCAAAGAGCACTGCCAGGCCTCAAGGAAAGCCTGTCTGCCTGCACTGGGGAACTGCTGGAGTGGTCCCTGGCCTGAATTTGACTCCTGCCAGCTAGCTTTCTCCCAGTGGGTTCCCAGGACTGTTTTGGGAGTTAGAAGGTCAGGACATGTCTCCATTAGGCCGTCTGCATCCAGTCACCCATTTCAATCCTATCTTGGATGGTGATCTCATCCCTGGGAAGCTACTTGGGCATGTTTAATTTAATAGGATCGCTGTCGCCTACAAGGTTTCCTCAAGCAACCTGAACTAGTAGTGCTGGCAGCTGGTGGGCAAGGCAGCAGGTCTAATACCAGTATTTGATCCTAGGTCTGTATGTGCATCTTTCCTAGGTCAATGTAGTGGTGACATGGGACATGAAGAGTGCCATGGCTCCTGTCTGCTCTGCCACTGCACTAGAGGCGCCTTGTCCCCTTGCTCTCAGGAACGTCCCCCACCTTATGCTGGACACATGACCATGGTTCAATGGCTGAAGTAATGTACCACTGGAGCAGCTCTGCAGTGGTTACAAGGGAGTAAACACCAAGGGAATTGAAACATATATCAGAACGTGACATTTTCAGGCTCAGGAGATTAACAGAATCACAGAATACCCCAAGTTGGAAGGGACCCACAAGGGTCATCGAGTCCAACCTCCAGCCCTGCACAGGACCATCCCCAAGAGTCACACCATGTCCCCCATGTCATCCAAATGCTTATTGAACTCTGTCAGGCTTGGTGCTGTGACCACTTCCATGGGGAGCCCGTTCCAGTGCCCAACCACCCTCTGGGTGAAGAATAATATCCAACCTAAATGTTTTAATAATATCCAACCTAAACCTCCCCAGACACAACTTCAGGCCATTCCCTTGGGTCCTGTCACTGGTCACCACAGAGAAGAGATCAGTGGCTTCCCCTCCTCTTCCCCTCACAAGGAAGTTGCAGACTGCAATGAGGTCTCCTCTTCTCTAGGCTTACCCAACCAAGTGACCTCAGCTGCTTCTCACACGGCTTCCCCTCAAGGCCATCTTCACTGCCCTCCTTTAGATGCTCTCTAAGACCTTAATATCTTTCTTATATTGCAGTGCCCAAAACTGCACACAATATTCCAGGTGAGGCCGCCTCAGTGCAGAGCAGAGCGGGACAATGACCTCCCTTGACCAGCTGGTGATGCTTTGCCTGATGCTCCTCAGGACGCAGTTGGCCCTCCTGGCTGCCAGGGCACTGCTGACTCATATTCAACTTGCCATCAACCAGGATCCCCAGGTCCCTTTCCATGATGCTGCTTTCCAGCATCTCATTCCCCAGCCTGTACAAACATCCAGGGTTGTCCCATCCCAGGTGCAGAATCCAGCGCTTCCCCTTGTTGACCTTCATATAGTTGGTGACTGCCCAGTCCTCTAATTTGATGAGATCTCTCTGCAGGGCCTCCTTGCCTTTGAGGGAGTCAACAGCTCCTCCTAGTTTTGTATCGTCTGCAAACTTGCTTAGTATCCTTTCCAGTCCTGTGTCCAGGTAATTTATGAAAATGTTGAAGAGCACAGGGCCCAAGATGGAGCCCTGTGAAACCCCACTAGTGACAGGTCTCCAGTCTGATGTTACCCCATTCACTATTACCCTCTGTGCTTGACCCAATTACTCACACACCTCATGATGTGTTCATCCAGCTGTGTGCTGAACATTTTGTCCAGAAGGATCCCCTGAGAGACAATATTGAAAGCTTTGCTGAAATCCAAAAAGATTAAATCAACTGGCTTTCCTTGATCAGCTATGAGGGTTGCCTCATGAAGCTGTGCTGGCTGTGACTGATGACTGTGTTGTCTTTCAATACCTCCCAGAATAATCTTCTCCATAACTTTACCAGGAACTGAAGTGATACTGACAGGCCTGTACTTTCCAGGGTCCTTCTTCTTGCCCTTCTTGAAAACTGGGACAACGTTCACTAGCTTCCACTCAGCTGGGACCTCTTTGGATTCCCAAGACCACTCAAAAATCGAGAGGTTCTGCGATGATATCAGCCAGCTCTTTGAGGATTCTGGGATTAATCCCATCAAACCGCATAGATTTGGAGTGATCCAATGGGAGCAGCAGATCCTGCACAATTTCATTTAAAATGGGGTTAGTGTTAGTTTGTGATTTACTTTTCCTCATTTTTTTCCCAATGTTTTTCTAAGCACTGAGTTTTTCATTTGTGTCTCAGATCATTCTTCTCCTCCCTTTTCTCATGACATCTTTCTTCCCATGCCTGTTCCTTCCTTCTGTTGTGCTCCCACATGCCTGGCTGTCTGCCCTGCTCATGAATTCTGCTTTATCACATAATTTCACTTGTCTGTGACCAAGTCCAGGTCTTCTGTGGTCTGTCTCCTCTCAGATGCGCACCATGTTATGCCCTCACCACTGTTGCTCCCCACTAGTGAAACCACAGCAGTGATGCTCATGACTCTCTTTACTTCCCTTCATATATTTTTTGCACCTTTTTTCTCAGATTGAATCTGCTTTCCCAGACTGTCACCTCTAGCTGAGCTCAGTGTCCTTCCCCATCTCAACCCTTTTCAAGCCTTGGGGTTCTCAGGGTTGTTTCATTGTACCGACAACCAAAGATCTGGGTTCCTGGGGATTGATACTGCACAGAGTAGAGGAGGCACTTGCTAATCCTTTTCTGCTCAAGCAGCTTTAAAAAGCAGGATTTTTAATCCTTCTTGTTTCCCAGTGCAGGTACAGTCAGGTGAGACTGTTCTCCAATTTTAGAAGAAATTAGACTTTGTTTCCATACAGAGAGAAAGGGGGGAAACAAAGGGTTATTAAATGGTGGCAGCTGGGTAAAACTCTTACATTTAACTGTTTTGTATTTTTGCAGCTGAGTTGCATAAGTGCCAGGTGACACCTCTGTGCTTGTCTTTTTGTGGGCTGGTAAGAGCAGTAGGGAGAACTGTGTGAGGCTGCTCCTGGGGGAGAGATGAGGTGGCTGTCCAGATACTTCAGGTTGGTGCATCGGCAGTATTTTCTGAGCCATAGTTACTGGATTTTCCTGCTGGCGCAGGGGGATCTGTGAGCTGCAGCTTCCTGGCAGGATTCTGGGAACAGCACCAAAACCGCGGAGAGGCAGCAAGCAGGTTTTGTGCTCTGAGTCAGAAGCAGGCTGAGAAGATGCAGCCCTCAAAGCACGAACCCAAGATGGGGAAGGGAATCTGTGCGAGGGGGATATTTCCGGTGTGAAGTTCAGAGCCTGGGGGGACCCTCTGCTGCCAGCACTTTTGGTGAGTCTGCAGGTCAGCTGCTAGTTTTGGTGCAATCATGGGAGAAGGGAGATTGCTGCCTTTCACCACTGCTACCCCGAGCCAGCTCATCCTTCTAGCTATTTCTGTCTATGCTTATCTATAGCATCATCCCCCTTGTGCCTGTGTACCTGCCAAGCATTCAAAACAGGCACTGCTGTGGCAGCCTCCTTTCTCTCCAGCCTGGAGGATAAATGACTGGATGGCTTTTTTTTAATTGTTTCTCTGCATCAAGAATTTACAGTGGGAAAGCTAAGCTGGAGAAATGCTTTCAGGAGTGGGTGGCCAGCCTGGCAGATCCCTGCTTGTTCTTAGCCCCTAGGGAGGTCCTGTAGCCTGGCCCTAGCCGGGTTCACTCACTGCCCTGGACGTTGGTGCTCCCTTTGAAAGCAATGGTTTCCTGGAGTGAGATGTGGTCTTGGGTAAAAACAGACAAAATTTGGATGCAAGAGAGAAGACCTGAATCTGACTTGCCTGCAAGGGGATCCAGAACAGAAAGCTGAGTGCTTGGGTGAGTTCACAGCAGCTGGCCTGTCCAATGCAGAACGCTGTACTCTTCTTTATTATAGTCTGAGTTACCTAGTGTAAAAATAACAGTATCAGAAATTCTAATATCTATATACTATATGCTGTCTGTATGCTATATGTGTTGTTTTATTTAATTTGGGCTGTGAAGTAGACTGCTCTCTGTGTTTAGTACACCTGACTGTGGCTTGTGACTTTGTTCCCAGCTGGGAATGTCAGTGTTTGCATCTGGAGTTGTGCAAATACGTGCAGGTGTGCAAAACTTATATCCTGCTTTTGCATCTCTGTTGCAGCACTGATTTGGGCCAGTAAATTCACTTGGATTGGAAAATTGGCATTACAGCTTGTCTTCTGCCACTTCAGTGTATGACTGTAGAGGCATTGGAGCACAGATAATATGTGTATTTGTAACATACTGCTTCTGATCCTCAAAATAAAAGGTGTAGACATAATGGGATACAGTTTTAAAGCAAAAGTGGCTTTATTGGAGAGGTATGAAAAGAGATTAAATAATCAGAATGTTCTTCTTTCAAATAATCAGGTTTTAAATACTGAATTTCAGTGTGAGGCTGTCAGGGCTCCCCTTTTCTTCTGTCCTTCCACTGACTGAGACTGTCATCGTAACATTTGAAATACGACATGTTTCAGACATCCTATATCTATATTTCTTTATCAAATCTGTAATTAAATGTGAATTCTTATGGCACTATGTACAGCAGAAGTTGCTTTGATGAGTAAGAAACACTGAAGTATGTGGAGAATCTAAGTATATAGATTGATATGTTTCTTATGCTGTTTGTAAAATACCTCTGTGCTATACGGAACCCCTGATTTACAAAATGTAACTTCAAAAAGAAAAGTTTTTAGTACTTCCACAATAGCATAAAGATATTTGTAAGTGATTAAAAGTGATTGAGTGTTTGAGCTGAGATTGCTTTGCCCTGTTACCTGTGATCTGGATGATATTTCTAGATAGAGGTGTTTGGCCAGCTTTTTGGCTTAGTTTCTTACTGGAATATGAAGTTAAACTTGGCAGGTCCAAGGAAGAATGTGTTTTACCCTGATTTTTGAAAATTATCCACCTTTACTTGTGTGAGTCAGGCAGGTTTCCATATATATGTATATTAAGGGGTTTTAAAATCCGTAAGTAACAAAGTTCTATTTTTTTCTCAATCTGTAAGTACAAGCAACTAGTACCCAGCCCTTCTCATAAGTTGGTGAGAAAGTCCTTTAAAAATGAGAGATTGCTGTCACTGCACTGCTGCATGCTTTCAGGAATGACAGCACAAGAGGTGGGAGTAATTTTGTCTCATTTTCACCATCTAAAGTTAAACAGGTCGTTCAGGCTCACACCACTTCAAAGGGAGAGGTGCACAGTTCATTACACTCTGGAGCAGCTTTGTCCTCTTTGAGTACATGGTGTCTAAGCAGCTAAATAGCTTAATTCCCCTGTTCAGTCCCAGGTCCGTGTCTCCCAGATTTGATAGGCTGAGTTCTTTACTTCAAACACTTGTCTTTTGGAGACAACTAATTGTTTCTGCCTGAGAAAGAGCCCATTTTAGTATTGAGGACAGCTTACTAAGGGGGTTGACACAGGAGGAGTGAAGGGTGACGCTGCACCGCGCCCGGTTCCCTGCATCGTAAATGTCCTCCAGTGCTGTCCCAGTAGCAGGGTTACCAAAACTACCCTCATGCCCATGCCTTGCTCCAAGGCATGCAATACACACTTCAAGCAGTTAAATGCTGCTCTGGTGTGCTGTGACACAGACCTCGCTTTGTATCAGATAATTTTGAATGAAGAAAATAATCACTTGCCGCGAGGCACATTGACGTGTGGGCAAAGGGCTTAGTGTATGGATGTGACTAGGTGGGTGTAGGGGTGACTGTGCGTGGGTGCTTTGGGAACGAGAGACCTGTCCATGGTGTGTCTTCGGCAGGATAGACACTGTCCTGCTGTCCTGTTGGCCAGGGAAGCACTTACGTGCTGAGCTGGGCTAGATGCATTTCAGGCAGCTGACAGATGGAGCAGATCTCACCTGACGTGACTTACACAAGGTCACTCAGCAGGTGGGTACCAAAGCTGGATACAAAAGCCAGGCCCATGTGCTACTCCTTAGGACACTCCACCTCCCCAGCAACCAAACAACCCCTCCCACACAGATTTGTGAAATATCTGGGTTAAACACTGCTGTTCTCACACCCTACATGAAGTGGGTCTGGATGGGCAGTGCTCGGTAAAGTGGCTGTGTGAGGATGTGAAATCATCCATATCTGCAGGATGAGAGGAAAAAAATACAGGAAAAATGGTTCTTTTCCTACATTTTGCAAAACATCATAGCTAAGATCCTGTTGTGCAGCAAGGGCAGCAGGTGCTCGGCACTGTCAGAGTGGTCATGGTGGCCTTAACCGATCCTTTACAAGCCACTAAACCACACAACATTTGTGAACACTGCTGCAGTGTGCTTCTTTGCATTCTAGTTCCTATGGAAACATGCTGTAAGAATGTCTAAAATAAGTACAGTGCTTTGAAACTATTATTATTTTGATCTTTCCTTTCCTCCAAAAAATCTCCTTTATCACCTTTCTGGATGAATTTTTAATACATTAAAAAGGTTGTTGCCATTATCTGGCAATAGTGTGCTACCCAACTTACCCAGGTGTCTTCATCCTGGGATCTGATGGATCCCAGGTTCTGCTATTGAGATCAGTGCTTCCTTCTCCCATTCTCCCCACTCAGTGAGGTAACAGGGTGGTGGTGCAAGTGTTGAACATACATATATGTGTATATGTGTGTAATCTATACACACTGAAGGAGGCTTGGCTCCAGCTCCCTTTTTTTACCATGTATTGAATAAGACAACATTGTTTGACACAACAAGATTATTTCCAGCTGTTTTAGGATCCATGGCATAGTGTTGCCTGGGAGGGAGTGCTGGAGGTCACCTAATCCAGCTGCCCGTCGAACAGACTCCTCTACATTGTTGGTGCAGGAGATGGTTGTGAGCCAGACGGAGACATCCTGCAGGTGCCCTCTTCCCTGTGGGAGGGTCAGTGCTGGAGCAGGTTATGGGCTGTTTGGGACAGCTCTTGCAAAGGAAACTACTTGTTCTCCCCAAGGATGCTCATGCTGGTAGCTGAAAACAGGACTATGTATTTAAAGCACTTTCCTCCCAGTGCTCCTGTGGTTTCCTTGTAAAGCTTTCAGCTCCCTTACAGCAGTGTCCCTGACCTTAGTAGTATCTGAGATTTTCAAACAACCCTGTCGCACTTTCAAAAACTACTTTTGGTGAGAGAGCTTTAGGAGAGCTAGGGCTAATCATATAAAGGGCTAAAAAACCTTATTTGAAGATAGATGCTAATTTTTGCTCATTTTCATGGTTCTGGCCTCTTGCAATGCTATGCCTCACTGCAAGATACCAGTAGAAGAGCTAGAGATGCATGTTTGGCATTCAAGGGGGAAGCAGGCATTTAAATTCAGAAAAGCTATTCACAGGAATTTTTTGCCAGTGCCAAAAAACTTTGACACCCTTATATGCTGAGGGATACATATATCCCTCATTATCTGGATTCCCAGAGCATCTTCTGGTCTGGGTGGGGATCTGTGCAGGTGGTGTTTCTGTACAGCTCTGCTTGACCTCAAGAGTGGAGGTAACAAAAAAAGCTGGTTTGAAATAAAAGGGAGTTGACACTGGAGCAGTATTTCTTATAGCTGCACGTCCTAGACAAAATAAATTACAGAGTTATGATGATACGGATCTAGCTCACATTCTGCTTTAACATTAAACTAAGTCTTAGCCATTTGAGAAGTGTGGGCATCTGTTTGAATCCCATTCTAAATCATCAGGCCAAATTCTACTCACAGGGTTAAATCTGCAGAGCCAGTGAGCAGCTGCTGTGTAATTATGCATCCTGCTTTATGATGTTGAATGCTTAGTCTTTGCATGATGTTTTATGCTTTTATGGCAAATGTAGTAGCAACACCAAATCTGTTTTATTTTGGTGCAACACTGAAGGCCAGTAGAAGAAACATGAGTCTAATCTTAATGGACAGAATGAAACTTTATAGACTGTTTTCAGGGTCACTATCATTGTAGAGTTAAACCATTCATTAACCAAGCAGACAAATTGAAGTGAAAGTGCTGGTCCAAAAAAAAATGTAAAAAGCATTTGCATTTCATATCTGCAAAGATCTCCCCTTACTTGAATGACAAGCATTGGGTCCAGCACTGAAGCAAATACCAAGAGAGAAAAGAATCTTGAACTATGGAACAGCAGTGGTTCTGGTTTAATGTGGATAGGCAAGGCTGAGATTTTTTTTGTGAGGACTCTATTTGAACTGCTTTGGAGCTGAGCCACTGTAGATGTAACCTTTCTAACCCAATTGATAAGTTCGTGTGTATGCACAGTATATAGGTCATTCACATTTACTCTGCGTAGCCCAGAAAAGAATGCAGTAAGACTTCAAAATATGTTGCATTTCAGCCCTTTCATTGTAGCATATTTCTCTCTCCTACTTTTCCTTGTTCATCTATACTTTCTATGGTGGAAGAAAAATCCAACAAGATATCACCTAATGTGCATGGATAGCGGATAAATGAAATGCTAAATGAACAGTTACACTGGTGAGAGAGTCAGAGACAGCTGGAGGTGCCCTGCAAGTCTGAGGGACAGGATCTATGAAATAGGGAATTATCTACACATTTACTAAATCACTGCAAATTTGTTTAGCAGTCATGAGAATTTTGGAATTATCTTCCATTTGAGAAGGGCAATATTGCAATGATTTAAAAGAATTATTCTGACATATTCCATTAGATAATATAAATCCAGACTATAGTAAAGTAATTGTTAAACTCTCTTAAGAGAAAAATCATAAGTTATCTTGAGGGTAATGAAATTATGAGAAACGTACATGTGGTTCAAAAAAGGAGAATAACAGAATCTAAAAGTGATTTTTTAAAGCTGGCATTATTAATTTTGACCTTA